AGTATTGAAGCTTACTGCACACACAGTCTCACAGGAGTTTTGGTTTCAGCCTTTTCTACCATTCACACGCCGCCTACTGGAGATCATCCTGCCACACATCATCAAGATCTCCAGGAATCCCAAGGTGACTGCATTTAAAATGGAACCTCCTGTACCCTCCAGGAAAGCTGACATGCCCTTGGTAATAGAGACAGCAACCTATTTAAAGATGAGCTATTTAAAAGCAGTAGCCTGCGGTACTTTGCCAAACTCTTTGCACTTGAAAAGACCATAACATATTTCTCCAGTTTGCCTCCAGTTCACAGCGCACTGACTCCAAAGCAGCAGTCTGGCAGTTTCTGCAGGCCAGGAGATTTTGTTTTGCAAACCACATTTTAGCAGGGGGATCACTATATTGAGTGCTTTAGGCTCCACAAGACGGGAATCACGCCCTCACACTGCACTACAACTTCACTGGGTCTATACAGATGATTTTAAAGAAATTGTTTAAACGTACACCCCGCACACCAGCTTGAGATACATGCTCAAGGACACGAGCGTGGAATTAGGGGCTGAAAAGCCCCCCTGCTTCCTTGTGGATGGTAGAAAATATCCTCCTAACATCACACAGCACACCAGCTCGAGACATCGGGAACAGTCCGGTATCATGGGAAAGCGCTGCGCTGGAGAGAACCACACGGCAAGAGGCACTGGGGGTGTTGGTCAGAAGGAACACCTTTAGACACAGCTCTCATTTTGAATCTGTAGCATAAAACATCAGGCAGGCTGTCAACAGGCTGCATCGCTGGAGTCTGAAAGCACAGCTTCATAAAAATGTCCCTGTGGGGCATCGGAGTGGAAAGAGCCAGGACCTGCCGCAAATCAGCGCAGGAGCGCGCTGGCAGAGCTGCCAGAGAGTTCCCAGGGCAGGTGTGAGCTGTGCCCAGAGCTGAGGGCTGCGGTGACGGGTCAGACACAGGCTGGACTCGACATGTTTTGTGTGACCACCCCTCACCCCACGTGCTGCGGGAGGGTCTGTGCGCCCACATGGCCAAGGGAGGGGAAAAAGTGGAAGGGTGAAGAGCACGCAGCACCTGCTTGGGCTGTGCCTGGATCCAGTCAGCGCTGTCAGCCTCTCACTTAAATAAACCCACCACAAATACAGTTTCTCCCATCCAAGCCTCTCGGCTTCCCCCTCTGAGCTCCTTTGTGGCTCCAGCTCACGGG